ATGGTTGTTTGTGGCAGCCCTCTATTGGGAGAGGCCCTTACAGAATTCCAAAGCCTACATACAGATAAACCTCTTCCATATACTGGAGAACATTATGAATTTTAATGCAAAACACCCTGATGGTTTTGTGTCTTGGGATATATTTTTCAAAAGGTTTGAAAGTGACCAGAGGGAAGATGTTATGCGAGGTATAAGTGGTAAAATAAGTCATGAAACATGAGATTGGGATGATGAATTTTGGCGATATTATGACCCAAAACATCCTTTGTATGAACCTAACCCCCCTTATTGAAATAGTAATCACCCCTGAAATAATGGAAAGTGTAAAAAGTGTTGTCTCTTGAATGGAAATAAATATTGTAAATTCAGCTAAAAATGTAAAATGTATCAGCTTAAATTTAAAATGTAACTTTTTTACTTTGTAACTTCGTAACCCAAACAAGTTGGAAAACAGGTTGAAGAACAGGTTTAAGAAAATGTTTAAGCAAAAAGCCATTGTCTACCAAGCTCTCCAACTACCAAGGAACCGTGACCATAAAGAATAGCTGTCCATGCTCTCCAATTCCAAGAAACCATGACCATAAAGAATAGCTATGTGCAAGAAAATAATGTAAACTTTATTCTTACTTTTGTTGTCTTTTTGGCTATTGTTAAGCCCCTAATTGTAAAAATGGGATATAAATGTATCATGCTAAATGCAATAGGAAGGAAAGAAGGAAGAAAGAAGAAGGAGAATTAGAATGACTTAGAATTAAAATCATCAAGATCACTTGACTGTTTGTCTTGTGTTCTTTCATCGTCCCTTTGCCGAACTTCTACCCACCTTCATGTTCCCTCTTCGAGACCCTAGACCTCAGGCTTACAAGCCCCTCCCGACTGGAGCAGCCCGTGGCAATCTCTGTCATTTAATTTTCTTTCAGAAATACTACCATGGTGCCTGAATGCAGCCAACCCAGTGTGAGGGCAAACAGCAGCAAAAGGCAGAGAGAGATCGATTTGGGAGTGAAACAAAAGGTATTAAACATCACAGGGGGGAAATATTGGTGAGGGTGACCATCCACAATTTAGCCGTGTTATATTCAATAATCACCATGATCCTCAGACACAAAGAACAAATTCTCTAAGCTGTTAAAGGATTACTCCACAGAAAGGTACAAGTCTAGAGGCTGTGGGAGGGGCCTGCATCAGACTGGGAGAAAGCACCCATGTGGACTGAAGACCACACAGATGGAGGTCTGGAGGACCATACAAAAAGCTGGACCAATGATACCAGATTCACGCAGAGTTATACACTGCACTTGTGAAATGTCAGTATGGACATTAACCAACCTAACCTAACTTTACATTAGCCTAACCTTACTACTCTAGACAGTCCTTTACTTTGTTAAGGTCTGCTCTTAAGAGCCAGTCAGTCCATCAAGGAGTTCAACAAAAATATAAGCCCTATCTATGGTCAATTGTTGTCAAGGACACTCCCAAAATGCTCAAGAGCAACAATGTCCATTTAAAGACTAAAATGCGCCTGATCCAAGCCATTTCATTACTTCCTGTGCATCTGAAGTTGGACAGTGAATAAGGATGACAGAAGATGAACTAGATATCTTTGAGTTATGGCACTGGAGTGAAATCACTAAATATCATGGACTCTCAAAAGAGCAAACAAGTCTGTCTTAGAGGTAGTGGAACCAAGATGCTTCTGAGAGGCAGGGATGGTAAAGGTTGACCTTCCATACTTTAGGCATATTATCAGGAGAGACCCATCCTTGGAAGAAGAAATCACCCTGGAAAAGGTGGAAGGTCAGAGAAAGTGAGGAAGACCCAGGGACAGGTGTTCAAATTCATCAGCTGCTCTGCAGGAGAAAGACAGGCAAGCTCCTCTCATGTGATTTACAGCCTCTGAAAACTCAATGGACAGTCAGCTATGAGTCAGTGACAGCAGTTAAGTGTTTACTGATTACTCTGTAAGACCTCTGGTGTGGGAAGCTGAATATCAAATTTAATATTAATAAACCAAATGCTCTATCAGGATATGAGGGAGGCGTAATACAAGCTGGAGTTCACCTTGAGGCACTAAGGCATTCCTTAAGAGCTTCTTAGTTTGTATTTACTGAATCCCTCCCTCCTGAGATAAGCAAAAGGTAAACAATAGAGAAGAACTCTATTTGCCAAAGACTTCCCCATGATCCTATGTTTTTGTTTCCTACTCCCTTGTCTTTTTCCTTTGTTTACCTTCCTGATGTTTCTCCATAAATACAGAGAGGCGTGGCTTGAGCACTTCAGTTCATGGAACTGCTGGCCCCTGTCTTTTATGCTTGCTGTTTTATCTCATTCCTGGTTGTCTGTCTCATTATTAATAATTATAAATATACTTTCCCTTGGTCTACAACACTCTGGAGTGTTGTGTTTTGGTTTTTTTCCCTTTTCCTAAAGTCTGTGGTAAGGGGTTGTGCTGCCAACCTAAAGGCAGGTATCCACCAGCAGCTCCTCCAGAGAAAGATGGGTGGTCTCCTCCTGTGGTATTTACAGCTTCTGAAAACCCTGTGGAGTTCTGACTTGGTCTGACTCAACAGCAATTAGTCAACTCAGTGTCTCAGGAGAGGGCACCAGAAGTCTCGTGTAAAAAAAAAAAAGTTTTGCACTCCAGAAATGCATGTGCTCCTCCAGGAAAGTCAGTGTGGCCCAGGGGGCACATTACTCAGCAGAGCTGCAACCACACACACATGTTGTCCTAGGATCAAGTGCACGTGCACGCACACGTGCATGCACTCAGGGCACCACAGGGAGAACCAGGTATTCCTTACAAGAACCAGTGTTGTGCCACAGCCTTGTTCACTCTGCTTTGGCATCTCCACGGCTCAGGAAGACAGAAAAGCCCCTCTATACAGTAACCTTAGTTAACAAGATCCGTAGGTCTACAGATCTGGAGAGATGCCTGCCATGTATGAGAAACACTCAAAGCCTGAAAGAGACGCTGAGAAACAAGATGTAGAATTCTTTCACCTGGAGGTCACATTTCAGGAGGGAGAGAAAGGTGATAAACAGAAAGCCAAGCATACATGTAATGACGACAGGAAGTAGAGAGGAGAGAGAATAAGCAGGGTGTGCGGATAAGGCTTCTTTCCCAATATTAAAAGCGTGCAGAGACCTGAATAGAAGGGGGCTGGGATGACGTGGAGGCAGAAGAATTCCAGGCAGGGAGGGCAAGTAAAAGGCTCTGAGACAGATCATATACTAGGCAGGATAACAACCCTACAAAGATTTCCAAACCCTAATACCCAGACTATTAGCAGAGGAGGGTTTCAATCCACCCATCTCTGTGTTACGGGCACAACACACTTCCACTGTGTCACTCCCTACAAACAGAAGACAAAATTCTGCTTGGCTGCTAAAAGAGAAGATGACTTGAAGCACTTACCGATCAAAGCCTACATCCTTCAATTTGGATTACATCTCAACATCAAGAAAACAAAAGTCCTCACCACTGGATTAACAGGCAACATCGTGATGGATGGTGAAAAGATTGAAGTTGCCAAGGATTTAATTTTACTTGGATCTGAAATAACACCCATGGTAGCAGCAGTCAAAAAAATTAAAAAAGACATGGTGCATGGGGGGAAATCTGTCAAGGACTTCTTTAAAGTGCTAAAGAGCAAGGAGAGAAGTTTAAAGTGCACCTGACCCCAGTCATGGTTTTTTAAGTTGCTTCCTATGCAACTGGAAGTGGGACAATGAATAAGGAAGAGTGAATAAGAATCCATGCCTTTGAATTGAACTGTTGGCAGGAAGAAGTGTGTGTGTGTGTGTGTGTGTGTGTGTGTGTGTGTGTGTGTGTGTGTGTGTGTGTGTTTTTTATATATATATATATATATATACACACACATACACCCAGTACTTGCTGTCTGCATAGTCCAATGACTTTAGAGACCTCCAGAAACTAGAGAAAATGAAGCAAGGAAATCAATTTCCCTTACAAACTCCAGAAGTGAAAGGAGCACAGCCCATAACTTTGCTTTAGCCCAGTGAAACAGATGTTTACTTTCTGACCTACACAATTATAAGGAATTGAATCTGCGTTGCTTTAAACCCTCAAGCTATAGTACTTATTTTTTAATAGCAGCAGCTAGAGACTAATAGAGCATATCTGTTACATCTGAGAAAAAAAAATAGACAATATGGTAGGGACACAACAAGCAATAACAAAAAGACCATGTATTCAGAGAGGAGGCAGGGCCTCAAGTCCAGAGGACACAGGATGCTCCAAGCTACTTTAAGAAGTTTGAGTAATGAGCTAAGTGGACTTGCATTTCCCACGGAATACTCTGGAGGTTTCTAGAGACAAATTTAGGAAGAAGAGGGTTCACATAGGGAATTCCACACAAAGGCGAGGGCCACTAGACATGTCTGTTAGCTTGGATCAAGGGAAGGCGTTAAGGAGGCAGAGAGTAAAATAGATGGATGAGTATCTATGAGGCTTCCGAGGTGTTCGAAATTTCCTACGGCTGAATTGCTCTTTTCACCTAAAGCCTTCTTCCTCTTTGTAAGTGATATATATATCAAGTTTAAAGACTTGGAGTGCAATGAACATGATAAGTCACAGACTAGAAATAAACACGACAGGTACAATTTACTAGAAATTTTAGGTCCTACTGCATATTCATTAACTAATAAAAAATAGTGTTTTTCAAAACATTTTTCCAAGATGAAGCATTTGGAATAATTTCAAGACCCAAACAATAACTACATTACTAATGTACAGGTCCACCCACTTCTAAACCAGTGTCTTCAGTAGCTCTCTTTGCTCCCTGAATCCCACACTACAGTCATGGCCAAAGACTGTGTTAAGTATGTTCCTTCCTTTCTTCCTAAGAATCCTGGATATTTTCTACTCTTATTTCATAAAAAATTCATTCATAGGAGAGTCAGTTCCCAGAACTCAGGTGACTAGAAAAAAAAAAATTCAAAAAAGAGATAAACACACGTTAGAGGGAGGCTGTCCTCACCCACTGACTCCAGGTTCCGGAAGTTCTCCAGCATCACATCCTGGTAGAGCTTCTTCTGAGCAGGGTCCAGCAGCTCCAGCTCCTCTTCAGTGAAGACCACGGCCACGTCCTTGAACGTCATTGATTTCTGCAACACCAAGCACAAGTTCATCCTGTCTCAGAACCACTGTCCACCTCAAGAGGCCGTGAAGACTTGGTGGGGGAAGGTGGCCTAGGTGATGAGGAACATGAGTCACTGTGTAGATGTCTCAGCCCTTCCTCCTGTATCCTCCCACTGCCATACACTCACCTTCTACAGATTCACCCAGAGTTCAGCACTCAATGAAAGCTCTTGTATTTTTACTCCATTTCTTCATTTGTTTTGTAAAGTGCCTTCAAGCGGACTAAGACTCATAGTGACAATGAAACTGAGCCCTGTCCTATCCTGTGCCATCCTGACCATCTCTGACATAACTGGGCTCTCCTTTAGAGTCACTGGGTCAATCTGTCTCGTTGAGGGTCTTCCCTTCCTTCATTGACCTTTTATCACCAATTGCCTGTCAATTTATTTTTAATACACCTGACAGCACTCCTTGCCTTCTACTACACCGACTGTAGTGTTAGTTGTAGTTGTTAAGGTACCAACATTAACAGCCCAGTATTCAGTATGTTCCGACACACAACTGACCTTCCTACAGGTTTCCAGAGGCCTGCAAATCCCAAGGGAGGAGGTGATCACCCATCTTTCTCCAGCAGAGCAGTTAGTGGATTAAAACTGTAATTCCAGAACTGGGATGGGGGAGGGGAGGGGGCAGGCAGGGAGAAAGTTGTATCAATGAATGGAAATCCAAAGTCTCTGTAAATTTTCATTAAAATTAATAATAATACAGAGGTGCACGGTTCAAATCCACCAGATGCTCTGCCGGGGAAGGAGGGACAATCTCCTCCTGTACCAGTCAGATCCGATTTGACAGTACGCGCGCACGCACACACACACACACAAAATTAATAATAATAAATGGGAAAATATTTATTTGCAAAAAAAAGAGAAACTGTAATTCCTTATCACCTTTCTAAATTTTAAATCCTATCTTGTCCAGATATGTAATTTACTCTATCAACTTTCAATGCACATGCCAAGCCTACGAATCCCAACACTCAGTGAATGGTGGTGTAACTGCTATGCCGGAATGTATATGCCAAGGTCCTGGCCCCCTTACCAGCCAGAGGGCAAATTCCCGCATTCCTCAGTTTCCTCTTTGTACAATGGTTCAATGATTTGTGTAATAAAAGTTGCATCCAATGATAAATAAGGAAACAGAGAGACAAATATAATTATACATCATTTTCACTCTTAAAAGTGAAAAAACAGTTGAAAGACGGTAAGAGTGACAGTGAGCAGCTTAACAGTTAACACTGAAGCAGTTCACACTACACTGAAGAAGCACTTACCAATCACCACGTGGCACAACTGCTGTTGTTGTTATTAGATGCCACTGAATCAAGTACAACTCACAGCAACCCTATGAACAGACTTGAACCGTATCCCATCCTGTCCCATCTTCAACTCTGACATACTAATTTAATAGAATCATTATAATTATGTATTTCAAGGTTACACAGTTTTTAAAACTATAAAACAAAGGACTTAGTTGGCCTTTGTCCCTGGTTCCTGGAAGGGGACTCAAAACCCTTGGAGGTTCCTCAGTTACAAGTGTCTGTTAATCCTATTGTCCCCCTTAAGCCCCTGTTACATGTGGTAGGCGCTGGCCACACAAGAAAGACTAATCACATGATCAGAGGTTTGGAACTTTGACTTACATGATACCAATCTATGTTCAGAAAACGGCAGTGGTGGTTTGATTTTTAGTTCAATCACAGGTCTTTGTAATAAAATTCCAACAAACATTCTGGACATCAAACACAACTAAACCTCCCTCATGGACAGTCTTCTTCTTATTGGTGCACACTGATGTGCCGAGGGTATGAAAGAGCCCTGAGGAAAAAGGAAGCATCCTGACTAGAACACGTCCATGTCCTGACCTCACCCTAATCCTGTCCCTTTGGCTTGGCTTGATTGGTAACTTCTTGATGTAACGTAACTGCGCTTGCAAATATAGTATTTGCGTCCTGTGAGATTTTGTAACAAATTCTCAAATCTGGTAAGAGTAACGAGAACCCCAGGATTTATAGTTACTTGATCAAAATAAGGGTGGGGGGGTGCCAGGTTAACAAAGGACGTGTGGGGGACGGGGCCTTCATCTGTGATCTGGCTCAACTCCATACAGAATCAGCCATACCAAACAACAATGGACCATATGAAAAACAACTTTTGACATGTGACTGAAATAAAAATTAATCAGAATTACATTTGAGGGGAAAATATTTTACTTAACAATCCCACTGTAATCTTACTTAAAATAATATAGTTCCTATCCATCTATGTTAAAATGATGGGCCTCTCCTTATGTGACACAAAAGAGAAAGGAGGAAACCAAAAACTCAACCAAATGAAATCACCTCAGCACTAACCATCCACATGAACCAGACTCATCCACCGTTAGGCATGGGAGCTGGTAAGACGCTAACTTTTCTGTTAGTGGCAGAATAATGAGGGGGGAGAATAATGAATAATGTAGAACACAAGCTCAAATTCCTTAAAAATAATTTTTAAAAACCAAAAGCAGATTTCTTAGACTAAGACAGAAGGATTCCCCAAGATCACTGCTGCCCTCAAGCCAAAACCAGGCATGGAGGTCACCTCTTAGCTAAACAACAGATGGGCTCACAAAATAGTAAGTATTTCCTGTGAATACGGCCTTCTTTTAAAAAACATCATGTACATGAGACTCAAAATGCAACAATTACTTTCAAACAAAAATAAGCATACAAGAAGGCAGGGGAACCAGATTCACAGAAATGGAACAACTTAAGCAGAAAACTTGAGAATGTTTCTGAACAGAGAAGAATGTATCCAGCCTATTCAATAATTCGGATAGAAATTCCTGAATGGAGTCTCAACTATCCTGCAAACCATCACCAAAAACACAGTAAAATATTATTTTAAATCAACAAATATCTAAGATTAGGGAGTAGTTAAAAATACAAAGATGCAACAATTCAACTGGAAAATTATGAAAACACACCTCAAAAAACCTGTTTCATAGTTGTTGTTGCTGCTGTTGTTATAGGCTGTCGAGTGAGAACCAATTCATTGCTGATCCTCAACAGGTTTTCAGAGACTGTTAACTGAACAGGAGGTCCATCGTTCTTCCACAGAGCAGCAGGCAGAACTGACGCCTTTGAGCTGTGGTGTTGGACAAGAGAGCTGAACATCCCAATGACAGCCAGGAGAACAAATGATCTGTCCTGGAGAGGGTGCAGCCGGAGCGCTCTTTGGAGGCAGGAATGGTGAGGCTCTTCCTCACATACTTTGGGCACGTTGCTAGGAGGGACTAGGAAGGGTGGAGGGTCGGCGAAGGAAGACCCTCAACCAGGTGGACTGACGCGGTGACTGCTGCAATGGGCTCCTGTGTGTCAGGAAGTGTGAGGCTAGCATAGAACAGGGCAGGGTTCAGAACATTCATAGGGTCACTATGAGTCGTGCATGACTCGACAGCACCTAACAGCAACAACTACAACAACAACAACAACTTCTTTTTACAGCCATTTTTATGAATAAAAAAAGAAAAGAAAAACTAAAATATTCACAGAAACCTGTAACTTCACAGAGCCAAGCATCTGGCAAATAAAAAGGTCTTATCAAAGTCTATTATTCTCCTTGAGGTTTTACAATGGAAACGAATGTCCAACCTGAGAAATGTGAAGCTCTTCAAAACGTAAAAAAGGTGGGTCTCACTCACCGTAAACACACTCATTTTCCTTCCTGCTCCTTGTGATGTCCTGAGTTCTGAGGGCACCAGAAGGGCAGAGCTGGGGGGAAAGAGAAGACAGGCATAAATAAAGGCAGCCAGGGATGTCCCTCCTTCACGGATGCTTACTGTGAATGAAGCCAAGAGGTCTGTTGGGGGGGGGGGGTTGCCTGATGCTTGATAAGCAGGGCCTGGCATCAACACCAGAGGCGGAACATTAGTCACTGCATCGCAGTCCCCTCCAAGCCAGTTTATTCTTCTCATTCTAGCTGGCTGGAAGCAGCCCCTCCTAAGAAAACAGGTCAATAGGGATTGGTGGTCATTCAAATTCCTTCATGACTGATGCAGAGAGACAGTGCTCCTAGCTCAAAGAGGAAAAAAATAAAGAACAAAGAAATAAAAACCTAGAGGGCCATTTCAGCAGTTAAGCTGTACGCACACAGAAAGGGGAGGACCACCCAATGTGAGGGATTTACATATAATGAGGTTATTTTATTTTTCTTAAGAGGGAAAGAAGAAATAAAATGCACACATGAAAATTTGACAGGAAATCAAACTCCACATTTACAACTCAGTTATTGATTATGGTTTTTATTCAGGAGGTTTTTAAGAAGAAGAGGAGGGACACAGAAATTATTCTTTGGCTAATCCTCCTTTAGGGAGCTTTGGTGGTTGAGTGGTAAATTGTCCTCACGATCCAAAAGCATATGTAAGAAGTTCTATCCACCAACTGTTAAGGGAGGAAATGGGCAAGTCTCTGAAAATCCTAGAGCATCAGCTATGAGATGGTTCCAACTCACAGTACTTAACAATCTTCCTTTGATTCTTTGACCCTTGCCTCCCACTCCTTCCCAGACCAGCGTCAAGATCCTCGGTGATCCCGGCTCTGCCCAACCTCTCCTTCATTTGCACAATTCCTCAACAAAGGTTGGAGATTTTAAAATAATAAAATGCCATAAATGCTCTAACCCTGTAATTTTTCAAAGGAAAAGAGAACAAGGCTCATTTTCATTTTGGTTAACTAAAGTTCTTTCCACAAACTTTTAAAAGCTTATCTTATTACTGATGGAAAACTTGATCAATGGGTCTTAAGCAAACTTAAAAGGAATGTGCGTTTAACTTTTAAACAGAGGTTTTGAAGAACATGTCTTATCACTGAAGGACTTAAGTGACCTAGGAACCAATGGAACCAGGTAGTCTCAGTTTCCTAATTATCAACAGGGGTTAAAGCCATCTTAGCAGATCAAAACCAGTACTAACCACCTGGGTTAGGCCTATGAGTTAGGTATGGGATTCTGCG